GTATCCCACTTTGTTGCCTTCAAATAATTGGGCCATATTGTATGTTGAATTTCTTTGGGTAAGACAAACAATCAAATGATCATAAGTCCCTCGATGACGCTTTTGAAAAGTTGCCTAAAATGATCAAGTCCCTTTCAAAGAGAAATTGCCCAAAGGCATTTAACACTATTGCAATTATGGTCTAAACGATGACCCGCGCCCGTCCCTTTCACCTCCTAAGACAAGATTGTCCACCAAATGCAATGGTGGAACAAAATTGTCAAAAGGTTTAAAACATGACAAAAATCTTTGAGAAAACTTTAGGGTAGATAACTCTTAAGTACTTGTCAATTTGCAAAGAAAACATTTGCCTAATTTCAAACTACACTTCACAAACACTTTCAAAACAAACTTTCAAAAAACCTTGAAACATCTTTTCAAAAGACAAAACACCTCTTGTAAAACATTCGAGTAAAGAATTGTTACAAGGGTAGCCTATACAAGGCATCTTTTCAAAACATTTTCAAAATCACACACCAAGCACCATTTCAAACAATTGAAAACCAAGGCAAGTTGATCTAAGCAAGTACCTAAGAGCCCATGGATAACCATGGATAGAGAGGGTGTTAATACCTTCCCTTTCTATAATCTACTCCCCGAACCCAAGAAAAATCTCAAAGGTTTTTGCTGTGCTTTTTAAACCTTTCCTTAGGATAAAATAAAAAGTCGGTGGCGACTCTTGCTCAACCGAAACATTTGCGAAAACAAATGCAAAACCACAGTCAGTTCTCCCACCGTATCACACTCGACCTTGATAAAAATATTTCAGGATGTACAAAACTCTTCCAAATAATCCTCCTATAGAATTGAATCCTTCAAATCGTCGTCATTCTCAACGTATTCGTACTACTTTAGTTCGTCTCAAGGATTACGTCACTAAAATCAATAATGTCACATCAAAAATTAATTTCCTTTGAAAAATTATTTATCATTCTCAAATCTAAGTAATTCTCATTGATATTTTCTCATCAATCTCATTGAAAATAAATAACCAAAATCTTATTCTCAAGTCATGAAATCAGTTGAATGGCGTGAAGTTATGGCTAAAGAAATTCAAGTCCTTGAATCGAACAACACTTGGACTGTATCTCCACTCCCAGAAGGAAAATCAACAATTGGTTGTAAGTGGGTTTACAAAATAAAATGTCACTCTGATGGTACCATTGAGAGGTATAAGGCTTGATTAGTAGCCAAAGGCTACACTCAAGTGCAAGGTATCGATTATCATGATACCTTTGCACCAGTCGCCAAATTAGTCACAGTTCGACTTCTTATCTCCATTGCTACCATTAAAAATTGGCGATTACGTCAACTTGATATCAACAATACATTCCTTCAAGGAGATCTCAACAAATAAGTTTATATGAAATTACCACATGGATTCTCTCATAAGGAAACCATGTGTCTGCAAATTAAACAAATCAATTTGTGGTCTTAAACAGGCTTCTCGCCAATGGTTATCAAAATTCTCCGCCACTCTTAATTCTGTCAATTAATTTATGGTTATAGTCTGTTCACGTACAATTGTGATCAAACGACCATATTTGTCCTTGTTTATGTTGATGACATCATCATCACTGGAAACAATGAAAATGCCTTCTCAGATATAAAGTGATTCCTTGCTCAGTCTTTCTCCATCAAAGACCTTTCCAATCTTTCATATTTTTTAGGCATTGAAGTATTACATTCTAAAAAGGGAATACTCTTATGTCAAAGAAAATATACATTTTGCATTTTATCTGACTCTGGTATAACTGGTTGCCGACCATCAGATTTTCCTATGGAACAACACCTTTGTGTATGATCCAATGATGAAAGCCCTCTTCATGATCTGACACTCTATCGTTGCGTCATTGGTTGTCTATTATATCTCAGTGACACGACCTGATATCTAATATGTTGTTAACACTCTCAGTCAATTCATGGAATCTCCATGTTCCTCTCATATGGATGCAGCCACACGTGTTCTTCGATATCTTAAAGGGAGTGTTGGCAAAGGGTTATTTCTCTCAGTAGGTAGCTCCATTAATTTAGTTGGATATGCAGACTCTGATTAGGCCAGTTGTCCTACACCCACTACTGATAATTTCACCATGTTAGATTCTAATCCAATTTCATGGAAAACCAGGAAGCAACCAACAATTTCACGTTCTTTCCGCTGAAGCAGAATATCGTTCTCTTGCAACTTTATCTTCTGAGTTACAATGGTTAAAATAACTTCTCTTTGATGTAGGTATTGATCACCCTCAATCGATCACAGTTTATTGTGATAGTCAAGTTGCTATCCATATTGCCGAAAATCCATTTTTCATGAACACGTCAAACACATTGAAATTGATTGTCATTTTGTTCGTGAAAAAATTAAATCGGGGGTCTTATCACTCATTCATATCTCCGATCTTTTGACCAACTAGCTGACATTTTTACTAAACCTCTTGGAGGCGATTCTTATAAACGACTATTCGACAAGTTGGGTAGGGATTGTTAGAAATATATTATACAATTAACACATATCAAATACAACAAGAAAAAGAATCAATTGTATCTCTTCACATGAAAATTGTTATCGATTCTATTAATAGACTTTTTATTATAGACCAAATTGGAAATTATTATCAATTGTATTAATAGTTTTTTATTATAGGCCAAATATAGGTTATATTTTCAACGCATATATTCTTGTATTCATTTTTAGTTTATACAGTACGTGAAATTGTGTATATATGTAATGGAAACCACATGAAATAAAATATACAACATTGTATTTCTTATACGTCTAAATATGTTAGACCCACTTATATATATATATATATATATATATATATATATATATATATATATATATATATATATATATATATATAAGAAAATAATAGTATTAATTTTTGTGTGTAATTTTTAGACATCTATATTAAGCAGATATAATAAAAGAGTCTCCGCCCGTCAGACATGTCTGTTTTATCTAAATTTTTCATAACGACTAAGGTTTCAGACATAACTTTTAATATATTTGTCTCGTTTCATTTTTTTGGCGAGATTTTTACTAGTACAAATATTTATTTAAATTTAAAATTTAAAATATATAATTTACGGATTCATCCCGTCCTATCCTATTTTTTTTCCGGACATATATGTTTACCACCCTTAATTTTTAAGGGTGAAATGATACTCAATTAGTTTAAATTGAATATTATATAAATTTATTGTGTGCCTTAAACTTTTTAAATATTTTAATTTAATACTACATGTTTATTATATTTCTTAATTTTTTATTGAATCCTATAAAAGAATGAAATGTGTATTGATAATGTAAAATAATTTTATATAGTCAATAAATAAATTATATGTATTAAATTAAATCACACATGTATTTTTAAAATGCTGATTTGATATGATAAAATGATATTTTTTTATTGAGCAATCATGTAAAATTATTTTACATCGTTAATATATATTTATTAAAATCTTTTTATTATAAAAAAAATCAATTATTTTTTAAAATTTCAATTCAATACACCCCTACTTTTATTTATTAACAAGTTGTCAAACTTAGTTAGTTTATTAATGTAACTATGTATTTGAGCTCGTTTTATTCTTCCCATCTCTTATTGTTGGCTCTTATCATAATGTGATGGTTAACGACACAACATGTAGTTTTTGGAAAGAATTAAAGGATCGCCCTTATTATAATGTGATGGGTAACGATTCAACATGTAGTATTTGAAAAGAATTAAAGGATCGCCCTTATCTTAATGTGATAGGTAACGACACAACATGTAGTATTTGAAAAGAATTAAAGGATCGCCCTTATCTTAATGTGATGGATAACGACACAACATGTAGTATTTAGAAATAATTAAAGGATCGTTATAGTTAAGAGAAATATATATATATATATATATATATATATATATATATATATATATATATATATATATATATTATATATATATATATATATATATATATATATATATATATATATATAAATATATATATATATATATATATATATATATATATATAATATATATATATATATATATATATATATATATATATAAATATATATATATATATATATATATATATATATATATATATATATATAAATATATATATATATATATATATATATATATATATATATATATATATATATATATATATATATATATATATATATATATATATATATATTATATATATATATATATATATATATATAATATATATATATATATATATAATATATATATAAATATATATATATATATAATATATATATATATATATATATATATATATATATATATATATATATATATATATATATATATATATATATATATATATATATATATATATATATATATATATATATATATATATATATATATATATATATATATATATATATATATATATATATATATATATATATATATATATATATATATATATATATATATTATCAATCTTGAGATGCTAATCAAAACCGACTAATAAGACGAAGAATGTCAATTTTACAAATTATAATAATGTTTTATTATTAATCTATGCTAGACTTGAATTTATTCTATTATATCTCTTAGTAAAAAAATACTCGTAAAAAGACAGATCTTAACTTATTTTTTTGTCACAAGCTTAACAAACACATCATGAAATTAATAAGATAAATTTCCCAAATTGGTTTTATGCCATAGTTGGGATCAAATATACAAGGCAATTAAAATCACCATCTCCTTCAAATTACTACTTAATGAAACAAAAAGCAACTATATATTATATATTAGGCCTAGCTAGCGGGTGCCATATATGCCACCACAGCATTACTGACCAAATTTTTTGGCCTTAACTCCTCCTAATCTACCTTTTACCCCCTCACTTTCCATCTAAAACAAAGGAAACGATGCAATGCAATGCAATATATTACACACACACGCACAAGATTTTGTGCTCTAGAATTGTGCCCCTGTAAATGTCTGTCCAAATTGCCAATTACTAGGTACAACGTTGTTGCTAGTGACAACCCTGCCATCACTTGTAGTAACTTGGAATGAAAGGCTTTGACCGTTAAGGTAGTTGTTGCTTTGCCAATTTTGTCCCCAGTTTCTTGACATGGTTTGCCATCCGGTGTTTGATCCTTTGATGGATACAGAATGAACATCTCCAGCTCCACCCACATTTGTTACCAAAACTAAGTTGAAGTATGAGTGTCCATTGATTGTGAACCTTATTCCTCCTTTCTTCACACATGGGACTCTGTTTTAAGTCCACAAAAATTTCATATTAGTATATACACTTGAAATTGAAGACGTATATGTTGTCCAACACAAGCTGTTACAATCACTTACTTCTATTTTTAAAAATTATTAATATTGATTAAGTGTTATTATTGTCTACATGTTAATACTAGTGTCAGTGTTCACTATCTATCTTACGTATCTGTCCGAGTGTTGTGTTCTATATTTCTGTCTAAGTTAGTGATGTGATATTTTATAATTAAATTTATAAGCAAACATGGTTGACTTTATCTTCTTGAGTCTATCTATGTACCTTCTGAAGGAGATAGGAACTATTCCAGCCTTGTATTGAGCAATTTGTAAGAAAGCAGGCTCAGCAAGATCAAAGTGTTGAAGAGGAGGGTTACACCATCCACCATTAGAATTAGACTCTGCAAAGTTTGGTGGGCAAAAGTTTGTGGCAGTGACCAATATGCTTCCAGGAAGGCACCATTTGGGGTCACTCTCACATTTCATCTCATAGCAAGACCCACAACTCAATCCATTGTTGAAAAGAGCAGTGCTTAGTGCAGCAGTGTTGGTTCCATAGCCTTGACTATACAAATTTCCATAACCACAAGCCCCTCCTGCAATTTTCAAAATCTCATTAAATTTTTTTTACATAAAATAAAATAATATTTTAAACGAATCGAAACGACAAGAAATAAATCACAGTAAGTCATGACTCGGATATTAAACTTACCCATTGTGCCTGAGGCATCTCCACCACCATAAAATGTGGCATGGGCACTTTCCCATCCACCTCCGTAGTCAGCAAAAGTGACTTTAAGGCATAAGCTAAGAAGAAAGAAAGAAATAGAAATGAATAAGGTTGCTAGAAAAGCCATTGTGAGTACACTAGTACTTCTTAGTGCTTTTGAGATAGGAGAAATAGCTTTAGTATTTGGTAGTGCTTAATGCATTATCTAAGGTATGGTTTGATTTATATAGGAAAGTAAAGAGTGAGATATGGGGTCTTGTGTTAAGAATTTCTTAGGGTCTAAAGAGAGAGAGAGCCAGAAAAACAACAAAAAAGTTATACATATGTGCACATGGAAATGTTTCGGTTACACTACCAACTGCTTAATCTACGGTCCCACTTGGCACATGCAATTCTCAACTGTTTGCAACTTTTTTATTTTATATTTTAGTTTATAGTTTTCAAGTGGTTGTTACGTATGAAAATGTGTATTTCTTCTTAATTAGGTTCCCTGAAATTACGGCTTACATAAAATAAATGGACACTAATTTTGGGTTATCTTACCGGCCCTCTATGCACATACGTCCAACTTGGTGTGCACCAAACGAAGTAGACTTAATGGCATTAATTTCTTGCAAATTGTTAAGATGTGAGAATAAATTACCAAAGATAGATTTGTGAATTTCTTCATAGAATCTGGTACCATAATAAATGTTTTTTTGTTGGATAGTATTACAAATTAATAAAACAAAATAAAAAGGAAAACGAATCTCAAAACATTTTATAAAACTGTATCTACTTCAAAATTCTTCTAAAAATTGTTTATGGTATTCAGTTAATGGATTAAAAAGCATTCTAACTAATTAGAAAAACAAAATTTTGCTCTTTAATATATAAGAACCTATATATAATTGATTAAGGAGCAAATTTGCTACCTAATCGACGAGAAAATGAATTTGATTAAATTATTTTCATATTTGTTAGTTATGTCTAATCAATTAAAAAGCGATTCTAAATTATTAATTTTTTGGAAATTTTTTTTCTTCCATATAAAATTGTCTTATGAATTCTTCAAAAGCACAAAAATATAATTTTATACTCTTCATCAGCACTCACTCTTTTAATATAAACTATTTTAATACATTTGTAACTATTTTAAGTTTTATTTGGGAGTTTGAAAAGGAGCGAAAGAAAAGACTTTGAAATTTTTTATTTAAAATATAGAGAAATCTTTGACATTTTTTTATATAAAATGATAAAAGAGTACTTATAATTTATTATATTTTTAATTTTTGGAATACTATAACAACATATATCTATAATAAAAGAAAACTCAATCTATCCAAAATCTCTATTTTGTTTTGTTGCTCCAAAATCATAACACGTGGATAGCATATTTGGGGTTTCAATTTCAAATGTTCTAATTTCTAATATTCTTCTACGAATTCCTCGTGTAACCTCTCTCTCCACTTTCCTTTAACCTGCCTCTCCAACCTCCCTTATTCATTATTTGTTTTGTAACTGTTTCCATAATCAATGTGTTGATTTCCAACGGATGTCCATTCCACTCCTTCCACTACTTCTGTAATCTATGACGGTCGTTCTCCACATCGTGGAAAGCAATCGTTGATTTCCTTCTTCAACTGCATGGCCATACAATTCATCCCCATTCGACTCCGGTTCTGCGCACTCCATCAATGACTCTCTGTCTGTTTCGTCAAAGTCTGATTCTCCTTCTTCTCCGACGAGCGTCACTCTCAACGACTCAGTCTCTTCCGCTCGCGATCTCTGCTTCAGTTTAGTTTTCCTTCTCGATTTTGTGTTTGGTTGATTGATGATTGATGATTGTTGATGTGTGTGTGATGTTGTGATTGAAGAACCTTGATGATGATTGGGGATTGGAAGTCAGTGCAAATGAAGTATGAAGAAGATGGAGGTTTGAAGGATGATGATGGAGATGACACAGTTCAGAGATAGCAGATTCATCTCTTCAAATTGCAAACACCTCTATCACTTTCTCAAGGTTTGTTTCTATTCCCCTCTCTCAATTTCACCCCCAATTTTATGTTTCATGAACAAGGGTTTTCTAATCGTCTTTCCTTTTCTTATACTTAAGTCAAAATGCAGGTCTGTTGGACCTAACACGAGTTGGGAGTCGGAAAGTCATTCAACTATCATCCGGATTCATGCTTTTCTTCTCTGTACTTTGTATTACATTTCGATTTTGTCCCTTCCTGCGCATTTCTGAGCATTCTGGTGAAACACTTTTCATGCAATTGTATTGAATAATTTCAGGCAAGTTTGGAGCAGTGGGTGCTGCAATACCATTGCCAATAGTAGCAGCTATTTATTGCGTCCTCTTTGCCTATGTCGGTATGAATGATCTATTCGTTATCGATAATTTCATATCAAATGAGTGATTTCAACGAAACTCGACATGTAAATTGTTCCAACTTGGATGGAGTGGGACTTTCCACCGATACAGATTCCTTGTCAGACAAGCAAGGTGATGTTAAGTTAAATCTTTCTACTAATAATGTTTCTCCTTCTCTTTCTAAAACGAAAGGCTTTTCTTCCATTCCTGAGGCTATCGAAGACATTCGCAATGGAAAGGTTGTTACTCTCTCACTCTCTCTTTGGGTGTTCTTTTAACTATTGATGCAAGGAAGTCTTTTATTGTAAGTTTTGGTTTTATGTTGCTGCCACTTAGCTTTATGTTATTAATTGACATTAGTATTTCAAATGGCAGTGGTTGTAGATGATGAGGATAGAGAAAATGAAGGGGACCTAATAATGGCAGCACAGTTGGAAACACCAGAAGCTATGGCTTTTATTGTGAAGCATGAGAATGGTATAGTTTGTATAAGCATGAAAAAGGAAGATCTAGAGAGATTAGAGCTTCCTTTAATGGTCAACAATCGGGATAATGATGAGAAACTTCACACAGCATTCACTGTAACAGTGGTATGTACAATTTGGTACGTGCATATTTTATCTAGAGTTACTTTGTATCTATCTGATCATGGTCTTCCATTGTTACATATTCTAAAAACTCTATATATTGGCCTTGTAATATGATATACTTTAGGAAATAATTTATCTCATCTTACTGCACTTGTGTAGGCATTCAGCGCGACTTCACTTTGTTGCATTAATATTTCATGCACTTGAAAGGAAGAGAGCCAAACAGACCACATTAGATGTTGCGGGTCTAAGAGATGAATCATAGTGGAAATGTGTTATTCTTTTTAGAAGGTATGAATCAACTAATTACAATTTGTCAAACAAACTTCTTTGATTGAACAATTAAACATTATTTATCACTTACCAGAGGGGTAAAACAAAACTTCTTGTTGGAAATCCACCTAATACTATGATGAATTTCGACCACAATGATGATTAGTTATGAGAAAAACAAATAAAAGAAGACAAGATAAATATTTCTGCAGAGTTTCTCTCTGCCCACAAACTGTGGAAAACTTTCTTAATCACTTGCAACTGCAAATTCTGTGATTACAATGAATTTTCTTGCTTGACTTGCTTTCAAAATAGGGGTTACTCCCTCTATTTATAACTGAGCTTACACCCTAAGCCCAAAGCCCAAAATATCTTTTTGTTACTAAATCAAATCTATTCTAGACTTAAATCAAATCTATTTAAATCTAAAACAAATCAAATCTTCTTTGACACATATGAATTATAATTTAACACACCACCTAATTCATTGTATCTAAATTGTCTATGTTCATCATGGCCCTTAGCTTTCTGAATACTTCGACTTGCACTCCTTTCGTCATGATGTCTGTAATCTGATTCTCAGTTCTGCAGTGTTCCAAATTCATCTTCCCATCTGCTACCTGCTCTCGAAGATAATGGAACCTCATTTCGATGTGCTTACTTCGACCATGTGCTATTGGGTTCTTTGCCAGATTAATAGCTGACATGCTGTCTATCTTCATGGTAATTGCTCCATGATCTTTCTTTGTTATCTCTTTGACCAAGTTCACCATCTAGGTTGCTTGACATGCACAAAGAGAAGCAGCTATGTATTCTGCTTCGCATGATGATAATGCCACTACTGGTTCTTTTCTCGAATTCCAAGCAATTGGTGCACCACCTAGCATAAACACATATCCTGCTGTTGACTTTCGATCTTCAGCATCACTACACCAACTCGAATAAGTGTATCCCACTAACTTGCATTATTTTCCTTTATCAACTGCAGGAAACAAAATGCCATAATCGAAAGTTCCTTTGAGATGCCTTAGTATCCTCTTCACTGCTACTAGATGTGATACCTTTGGCTTCTGCATGAATCTACTTACCATACCTACACTGTATGCTAAGTCAGGCCTTGTATGACAAAGATATCTTAATGATCCAATAAGTCTTCTGTATTGGGTTGGATCAACATCATCTTCATATGCATCTTTCGACAGTTGCAGTCTTGGTTCTGCAGGTGTCGAAGTTGAGTTGCATTCTTCCATCTCAAACCTCTTGAGAATTTCTCCTGCATATCTTCTTTGATGCATCATCAAACCTCTACTGCTCTTGTAGAATTCGATACCAAGGAAGTATGAAATCTCACCCAAATCAGACATTTCGAATTCCTTACTGAGATCACCTTTGAAGTCTTCGATCTCACTCTTGCAGCTACATGTTATCAACAAATCATCTACATAGAGACATAGTATAAGCAATTTACTCTTGCTTCTTCTTACATATACTCCATATTCAGTTGTGCACTTCACAAATTCCTTCTCCCTTAGAAAACTATCAATTTTCTTATTCCAAGCCCTTGGAGCTTGTTTCAATCCATATAGGGCTTTATGTAGCCTGTACACCTTTCTTTCTTCGTCATGTTTCACAAACCCAACTGGTTGTTTAACATAGACTTCTTCATCTAAGGGTCCATTTAGGAATGCACACTTCACGTCCATCTGACATATGTGCCAACTGTTGATTTCTGCTAGACCAACAACCAACCTGATTGTTTCGATCCTAGCAACTGGTGCAAAAACTTCGTCGAAGTCTATTCCTTCTTTCTGTAGAAATCCTTTCGCCACAAGTCTTGCTTTGTGTCGAGTTACTTCACCTTTCGAATTCGTTTTCACTTTGTATACCCACTTGACATCAATTGCCTTCTCG